GATTGGATATACAGTAAAATGACAGACATAAGCTTCTTTCACCTAGGTGGGTACAGGATAGTTAATAGTCAACAATTAATAACAATGAGGGGATTTGTGGTTTCCACCCTGGTGCATTGGTTGTGCCCTGCGGGGCCTGGAGAAAGGGGAGTCACCCTGACACTCCAAAGGAATGTTATTGTAGATGCAAAAGACATAGACAGGCAGGGTCAAGGTAAAGACGGATGTCTGTCAGGGAAGATTCTAGCCTAGGACATGAATACGTGCCATAAACTGCTTTTAGTTAAAAAGTTTTTAAATTTCAGACCATCCTTTATGGTTACTTCAGGTCTGAGTTAGTCTGGAAGGCCACCACACGGGCCCTCCCCGAGCTTGTCAGGTTAGCATGTGGCCTGTTTTTGTCCATAACATTATGGACCACAAGCCCAGCCAACCTGACCGGGTCACTCCAGAAGCCTCTCCCTCCTTCCCTGGCAGAACCCAGGCCCTCTCTCAGGCCGAGGGTCTGTGATCCAGGGTGTGACAGGCCCCAAAAAGGCTGGGCAGGGGGCCTTACCTGCCAGGTCTGAAGTGTCCAGCAGGAGCCAATCCTGCAGCTTCCCATTTCCCCACCCTGGCACCCAGCCCCGCCTTTACCACCTGCCTGGACCTCTAGGAATCAGAAGGAAGGTGCTGACCTGTCCTTGGGGGAATAATAGTATTAGTGATAAGGGGGCTTCTGGCAGCTTCGTCAGCAGGTTCAAGGATTTGCACTGAGTAATCCTTTGGCGTCTGCCCCAGCAGCTGGTGGTCAGATCGGGAGACACTCCCCGCCCCAGACCTGCTGGGTTGTCATCCTTACCAACTGCATGGTCGCAGCTCTGGCTGGGCCTGACCTGCCAAAGAACCAAGAGTCAGCAGCGATCAAAATGAGTCAGGGGTTGACAGAATAAAGTCAAAATAAACCGAGTAAGCCCAGGCAGGTCAAACACTGTGGGTATCTTTATTGTCAATGTATTTATTTTTTGCCATTCTAAAGTAATGCATACCCACTGTAGAATATCAGGAAAATACAGACAAGTTACAAACAAATTCCTGTCCATTTTGTGCATTGTGACCCACATGTCAAGTGACCTGAACTTTGAACCGGTCCCTGAAATCTTCCATCTGGACTGAGGAGAGAAAGTTGACTTGGAATTAAGAACAAGATCTGGCCCTGAAGGGAAAGCAAGTGGACTGAGGAGTCAGGCAGGTGAGTGGAGGAGGTGAGCTCTGAACAGGCCTGCTGGATGGGAGGGGACTGGGCAGCTCAGATGCAGAGCAGCAAAGACCTGCCAGGGAAATGAGCTCCCCGCTTCTCCATCCGGGGAACCCCTCCCTAATGCCTTCAACGTCCCTGTGGTCCTTCTGTCAACAGAAGAAACATTCAAACCTGTGAAGAACTTTTGTGAGTATATTTGAGACAAAACTGTCGAAAATTTCTGGGAAGTAAAACCTCAACAGATTGAGATAATGCTCTGGAGAATGGCAGTTTTGCCCCTTATTCTATACGTTACAATCAAAAGAGGGGCCGGAAGTGGGTTACATGGAATCCATTGGTGATAGGTTAGGAAGGCGGGAGGAAGCAAAGTGGGGAAACCTCTGGGATTGGATGAAAAGTAAAATGATAGACACATGCATCTTCTACACAGGTGGGTACAGGATAGTTAACAGTCAACAATCCACTCAGTAATAATGAGGAGATTTGTGGTCTCCGTGGTGCCTGTGCTTTGAGGGGTCTGTAAAAGGGAAATTACTTGGACATTCCAAAGATATGTTGCCAATGTGAAATGTTATCATAGATGCAAAAAGACAATAGACAGACTCAGTTAAGGTAAAGAGTGACCTTTGTCAGGGAAGATGCCAGCCTAGGACATCACTACCTGCCATAAACTGCTTTTAGTTAAAAAGTTTTAATTTCAGACCATCCTTTGTGGTTACTTTAGGCCTCTGAGTTCACAAGGCCGCCACAAACGCCTTCCCTGAGCTTGTCAGGTTAGCGTGTGGCCCCTTTTTGTCCACAGTTCCCATGTGCTTGGGAGCAGTCCTGGTGTCTCTCTTCTCCCAGGATTTGCCTCCCTGATGAGGGCTTCAGGGAAAATCTGGCACCTGGCCACACTGTCCACCTGTAAAGTCACCATCTTTAACCTCAGCGGGGCCTCAGACCTTGCTCAGAAGTCCCTTCCTGATAGCAGTCACCCCAATTTCTGGCCTCCTCCCTCTCATCTGGGACTGAGTCAATGCCTTTCCCGTCATCTCCTTGAACCCCAGCACAACCCTGGGGAGGCACTAGTCAGCTGGTTTAGAGATGATGGAACTGAAACCGAGAGGCAGGATAGCGCCCAAGTCACACAGCCACAGATACCAGGCCACCCTGGGCTCCTGCTTCCTTCCAGGGGGCCTCTTCCAGGCCCCCCTGGATCTCCAGGGCCCGCCCACCCCTCGGGCTTGCTCAGGTAGCAGGCAGCCGCTTCACCACCAACTTTATCCTCGCTCCCTCTGACTCCTTTTCCTTCGTGTCTCCCAATTTTGAAACTCCTCTTTTTCAGTACATTTTTAGAACAGCTCCCTTGACAGAGAAAAGTCTTCCCTTCATGCCATGCTTCCTACAAAGCCCTTGGCCCTATCTCCCTCCCTCCTCAGCAGCTCTCTGCTGTCAGTCCCTCCCGCCCACCGCCCGTCCGCAGGCCTCCCCTTCTTCAGAACAATTCTCCAGGCACCATCGCCTCCTGCTGCTGGAGCCAGTGACGGCAGTCTCCTGGGAGAGGACCTGGGCGGACAGCAGGAGTTTGGGGATCAGACACACGTTCGAGCCCTGTCTCCGTCCCTGAGCTCCACCACTCAGTAGCTGTGTGGCCTGAAGCCTATGGCTTAACCTTCCTGAAACTCAGTCTGCTCCTCTGCGAATTGAGGCTGAGGAGAACTTCCGCAGAGGGTTGCTGTGGGTTTTGAATGTGATATCGCGGGTATTTGTGTAAGAATGCTCCTGGGTTGCTCTCATGCTCTCTTTATTAGTGATAGGAATGACCTCGTAGGACGTTGACCTGGTCAATGCCACCATCCTGAGTCCTCCCCTTCCCTTCCTCCTGTGGCCCACACTGTCCTGACTGTCCCTCTCAGCCCTTTCCTAGCAGCTCTTCCTGGGTCCAGACCTCCAGGATCAGAGGCCCTCGGCTTAGCCTTAGGCGTGTGCCTCCCTGCCCCGCATCTGCAGGCGGTCCCTGGGCCTGGGCGCGGGGCCTGGCTCTGTGCAGACAAGTTGAGGGTGGGCTGGTTGGGGCCTGTGGAGTTGGTCTCCACACCAGACTCCAGTGGATCTGTGGCTGGAAGCTGGGGCAGAGCCCTAGGCAGTAGTGTGGTGTGAATTTATCTTGGAAGGTGTGCATGGTGCAAGATTGCCCAAGAAGGGAGTGAAAAGGTCTGCTGGGGCCAACCTCTGGGGCACACTGAGGTGATGACAAGTTCAGAGCAGGGAGGAAGACGGTGGAGAACTGAGTTCCAGAAGAAGAGGAAGAGAGGAGCCTTGTAAAGGAAGGACTGTCAACCAAGTGCCAGGGAGAAGCCTCTGTCAGTGGTGTGGAGGGGGTGGTTTGGAGACCTTGCGGAGAAGGGTCCGGAGCTTCCTGGCAGAAGGGCGAGCAGAGGCAGAGAAGGTCAGGTGAGGACTCAGCCCATGGCCTCGAGCTTCTGAAAGGCCCCAGAGAGCAGATTACCCTGCAAAGTCCCTCGAGCTGACTTTTCAAATCCCCAATAGTGCTTCTCTGTCACAATGAGGGTTAACGTCACTTACATAGAGCCCTGCCCCACCCCGTCTGTCCCCTGAACCCCATGATCCTCCCAGAAGCTTTACACTGTCCCCTCTCCTCCTTGGGCTCTAAGGCTGGGCCAACCCCTTCCCAGGCTTACTCCGAAGGTGAGCTCAGGTCTGCTGAGCATGGGTGGTCCCCTCCAGACCAACATGGGGTTTCCTGCTCCATCCTGGGCATGGGTAGGAGTGGGGGAGGGGCCGTTATTGATCCTCTCAATGACCTTGACAAATAATAACAGCATCCATCACTTATTATACTATTTCTAAGTGCCAAGCACTGGGCCACTCTGAGAATGATCTTACTTAGTGTCCTTAACTACATACAAGACAGGTATTTTTGTTACCCCTTTTTATAGACAAGGAACCTGAGCTCAGGCAGGTTAAATCACGTGCTCAGGGACACATGTATGGCCTGTGAGGGAGTAGGGATTTGAACTCGGGACTGTCTCTGTCTTGGTCCGAGAAGGCAGGCACCTCCTTCTGCCTCCTCCCCTCAGAAGCATCACTGGGCTCCAGCTGGGAGACTAGGTGTGAGGAAGCTGAGGGGCCAGGACTGGAGGCCAAGTCAGAGGAGAAAAGGGGAGGTGGCCTGAGAGCCCATGGCCAGCTCAGGGCTCCTCGCCCCTCTATTTCTGCAGGCCCGGCTGTCCAGGCGGGTAAATACAACACCTGCCGATGCCTGACGGTGACCTTCCACACCGCATCGCAGCCGCCCCGCCTCCGGGCCAGCCTCAGACCCTACAGTGGGCCCATTCCCATTGCAATGGGCACTGCCTCTCTGCCGGGTTTCGGTGGAGTGCTCACCTTTCAGGGGGCCAGGACCCTCCAATCCTGGGCCCTCAGCAGTCCCTTTGCAAGGGGTGGGGGACAACCCCTGGGGCGAAGAGCTGGACCCATGCAGCACCCACAGTGAGCACCACGTGCACCGGCCACACAGCTCAGCCATGCACACTTGTTTGTCCCGACGCATACCGAGCACCCCAAAGAGATTCAAGTTCTGGAGGCATTGGAGGGCGAGCAGCTTGAGAGCACTGGGCAGAAGGGACCCCGGGCACGGGGCAGCCAGGGGCTGGTGTGGGGGCGTCAGGGTCAGGGCTGACGGTCTGGGAGGTGCCTTGAGAATGCTGCAGGTGTGGCTGGTTGATCCCCTGGGGAGACGGTAAAGATTAAGAGGCTCATCAGCTGCATCCAGAGCTGCCCGGGAAGAAATCTCCTCAAGCCGGAACCCCAGGCCCACTGCTCTGAGGGGACGCAGGAGCAGCTCCTGAGTCAGTCAGAGGGGACAGAGGCAAGAGGACAGAGAGGAGAGGCGGGGAGACAAAGACAGAGGGAGGTCGCCAGGACCAGGGAAAGGGGAAGTAGAGATAGAAGTGAGCCCAGCACAGAGGGCCAGAGGAGAGAGGGAGGCAGAGGCTGCTCGGCTCAGTGTCCCTGGAGCCTCCCTCAGGCAGGAAGGCGAGGCTGCCCTGGGACCTTCCAGACTGGGACAGCAGCTCCACAAGCCTCACATGGCTGCAGGTGCAACCACAGCTGTGGCTGCCTCCAGGAAGGAGTCTCCAGGCAGATGGGGCCTGGGGGAGGAGCAGGCAGGTACGGCTTTCCTGGAGGTAAGGTCTCAGCCCTTGGGGAGCGAAGTGCACCCTGAAAGGAGCCAGAGCAACTGAGGCCCAGCCCCATGGGCTGTGGGAAAGTGTGAGGGAACCTGTTGGCGACCCCGAAACATGGGATCAGCAGAGCCAGGTCAGGACAACTGAGCTGGTGGGTAGGAAAGAAGGGAGAGCCCCCTCCAAGTTTGTTGGCTAAAGGTCCCAGTGGTGTTGTCAAGAATGTGTTGTGGGCTAATGGAGCCTGCAGCCCCTGCACAGAGAGGAGATGGCAGGTGGGGCGTGGAGGCGGACTTGCTGGCAGGTGGCCACGGAGCGAGAGGGGCAGGGGCCGGGTGGGTGCAATGGGTGGGGAGTGTGATGGGGAGACGCTTTCTGAGAGGGAAAGGGAAGGAGGGGTAGAGGGGGTTCCCTGCAGAGGTGGCGGGTGTGCGACCCTGCACTTCCCCTCCCTCCCCCTCAGGCGCTGTCCCCTCGCGGCAGTGCCGCGTGTGTGGGGACAGCAGCAGTGGGAAGCACTACGGCATCTACGCGTGCAATGGCTGCAGCGGCTTCTTCAAGAGGAGCGTGAGGCGGAGGCTTATCTACAGGTGGGGAGGGCCGGCCCCGCCAGGGAGCCCCGAGCCTACGGCCCCGGAGCGGGAGGGGTGTTCGGGGAAGGAGTGTCCAAAGCTCACAGTCCAGCACGCACTGACACCCGGGCTGCCCACCTGCAGGTGCCAGGTGGGGGCAGGGATGTGCCCAGTGGACAAGGCCCACCGAAACCAGTGCCAGGCCTGCCGGCTGAGGAAGTGCCTACAGGCGGGCATGAACCAGGATGGTGAGTTGGGGAGCCAACCCGGAGACACCCGACAGAAGAGATGGGGGTGGGAGGCTAGTGGGTGTCCTGACCTTCCTGCCTCCCCAGCTGTGCAGCATGAGCGCCAGCCACGAAGCACAGCGCAGACCCACCTGCACCGCGTGGAGTCAGATAGGGAGCCCCCGCTGGAGCCCCTGGTGGCCCCCCTGGGCCTGGCAGAGCCCAGCCCGCAGGGCCCCACACCTGTTTCTGCAGCCAGAGCCCTGGGGCCCGGGGCCCGCACACCTCCAGGCCACCATCACTTCATGGCCAGCCTTATAACGGCCGAAACCTGTGCTAAGCTAGAGCCGGAGGATGGTAAGTGGGAAGACGGCCTCTATCCCCAAACCCAGGCCCCTGAGCACCCCTGCTTCCTGCTGAAGAGCAGTGGCTTATGTCATAGCCTCCTCCTCCAACAGTTGATGAGAACATCGATGTCACCAGCAATGACCCAGAGTTTCCCTCGTCCCCATATTCCTCCTCCTCCCCCTGTGGTCTGGACAGCATCCATGAGACGTCAGCTCGCCTGCTCTTCATGGCTGTCAAGTGGGCCAAGAACCTGCCTGTGTTCTCCAACCTGCCCTTCCGGGATCAGGTACATCCACTGGGCGACCCCCAGGAGTCAGCCAGGCTGGGGACACGTACATCCTCGTTCAGATGATGACTGGAGGGTCATGTGGCTTGGGGACGTGATGGCTGGGGATGCGCATGCTGGTGAGTCAGTGATGGTCAGGGGTCCAAGTCTCAGAGATGTGACTGAGGAGTTGCTCGTGACTCTGGGCAGAGAGCATGGCTGAAGAAGCCCCTGGGGGATGGTGGGGGGCAGGTACGCACAGGAACCGGGGATTTGAAGGCAGTACCTATGGGCCCTGGTCTTCTTTCCCCAGATGACACCTCCGGTCCTACAGACACTGTGTGACAGGTGGTCGCACACACTGACCAGTGTGAGTTGGTGACTCTGGGTTCCCTTGAAGCGACAAAGGCTTCTAACTTCAGGGCCAGGGTTTCAGCCCAACCTTTTCAACTCTGGGATGCTCCCTGAGCTGCTCCAGGGCGAGCAGACCGACCTGTCATTATAAACCAGAGAGAGGCACACTGAGGGTCTGAGCCCTGAGCCGGGGTTTGGATCAGAAGTCAGGCCATGTGTCCTGAGTTTATTCAACTTCGGGTGTTCATGGGGGGTGTCCCCCAGGCTGTCCACCTTCCCACAGCTCTAGGCTCTCCAAAATGCTCCAGATGTGGCTCTGGATGGAACCCAGGTAGTGGGCCAGATGGTGCCAAGTCCCAGAGCTCGGAGCCCCTGGTTGAGGTCATGAGGTCAGAACATTCCGGGCCCCAAGACCATCCCCTCCTTTCTCAGGACACTGAGGAGGCGGGGCGGTGGGGGGCTGCATCACACTCACTCCCTGTGCACACAGGTGATCCTGCTGGAAGAAGCCTGGAGTGAACTCTTCCTCCTTGGAGCCATACAGTGGTCTCTGCCTCTGGACAGCTGCCCACTTCTGGTGCCCCCTGAGGCCCCGGCTGCTGGCAGCTCCCAGGGCCGGCTGACCGGTGCGGAGATGCGCTTCCTGCAGGAAACCACCTCCCGGTTCCGGGCGTTGGCGGTGGACCCCACAGAGTTTGCCTGCATGAAGGCCCTGGTGCTCTTCAAACCAGGTAGCTGAGTCTTGGTCCAGCCAGAGACGTGGTTGGGAATGAAGAATGGGAATTCCAGTGACTTCCCTCTGCCTCTCACTCTCCCTGCGTCAACCCACATAGACCCAGAAGTGTGCAGACACCTTCCCTGGGGAGCAGAGGAGAGTGGTGCAGGGCTGAGCGCCCCCTTCTTGAGAGCCCTGGCTGACTGCGAGGGCAGGGCAGCTGGGGGAGGGGCTCACTGCTGCTGCTCCTCTCCAGAAACGCGGGGCCTGAAGGATCCTGAGCATGTGGAGGCCTTGCAGGACCAGTCCCAAGTGATGCTGAGCCAGCACAGCAAGGCCCACCACCCGAGCCAGCCTGTGAGGTGACCTGAGCACATGCCTCCCGACCCAGCTATCCTTTCGCCTCTCCCCCTGCCCATCTGTCTGACTCCACCTCAGGCTGCACTGATTAGAGAGGACAAGGGTCTCAGTGCAGCCAGCACAAGTCCAGCACCTACTGTGTGCCGGCCCAGTGTCAGGCCCAGGGAGTGGGGACCACACTGTGCGTGAGACAAAGCTGCTGCCTACCAGGGACCACACTGAAGAAGAGAACCGACCTGGTCAGGTTGTATGGATCTGAAGGAAGCAGAGAACCACTGGGGGTAGGGGTGTATAGCAGAACTGGCAGGGACTCTGTGGACCCAAGGCTGGGCTTGGTCGGAAGGCTAGGGCCTAAAAGAAGGGAAACCATCATTTAGAAAGGGAGGGAGTGGCAAACTTGGGTGTGTTCTTAGGACAAGAGCTCAGTTTGGAAGGTACAACAGATTGCTGCCCGTGAGGAGGAGGAAGATTGGGCTAGAACAGCACTCTGGGACCAGCCTGTTCAGGACTCTGAATGCCAGCCAAGGCCATATCTGATTTGATCAGCAGAGGGGAGCCACTGCAGGTTTGAGTGGGATGGTGTTGCACATAGAACTGGACTTTATCGGACTAGCATGACAGCGAGGACAGAGGATGCTGCCAGCATCCAGGGGAGTCCGTGGCATCTGCTCCTTGGGAGTGGACAGGAGGTGGCAGATGAGAGAGCCTCCAGATGTTGGAATGGGTAAGACTTGGCATTTGGGTGATATAAGGGAAGAGGAGCTATTGGGAGAAGAGGTAGTCAAGAAACACAAAGTAATGGCAGGAGGCAAAGAGAGTTCCGAGGGAGCATGACAAGGTGTGACAGAGGTACAGAGGGACATCTCCTGTGTGGTGCCCTTGCATAAACCATGTACATGGACAACAGCCCAGCCCCTGCTGAGTGTGGCTGGGGTGGGGGGGTGGGGGCAGGAGCCAGCACCAACAGATATGTGCAGCCTCCACAGGGTTAGAGCACTTGGCCTCCAGGCGTCTACTGGCTATTTTAGACCAGGCCGTCTGCATTCTCTCAGGGTTCCCAGCAGTTCTCTCTGAAGAAGTAAGCTAACATAGACACCCTTGAATCCCCTGATCTGAAAAATGGTCACAAGAAGAGGTACTTTCCCTTGAAGAAGAGAGAGTATACCAACTAGCACATGCTACATTGCACAGAGATTTCTGCTGTTCATGTGTGCAAGACGAGCACTTCCCCCAGCCGGCAGCAGCCTAGGAGTGCTGGCCACAGGCAGCAGGAGCCCTCCCGGGCCACGTTTCTGTGGGATCCGCTTCCAGAAATGTTTGGGCATACTGGTTTTGTATCAAGTTTCAAAGTTCTGATTAAGATTTCCTCTGTCACTTCTGTGGCTGCTCAGTGCCGGCTACAGGCAGAACTGGGTGCTGAGCGGCTTGGAGATCGAGCCGCGGGCCCGCAGTGAGCGCCTGCAGGACCAGGGAGGAATGTTTCCATCCTAACCCAGTATCCACACTGACACTGAACCAAGTGCCATCGAGTCCCAGCTGCCCTCACTTTGTATCATTTACTTGATATTTGTTTTTGTTTGTAAAGACTGGTTGTGACCCACTAGTGGATCAATTCCTGCTGTGTGAAAACAATTTCTCACTTAACTTCATAGTTACTTCTTCCTGACCCTCCTTAGATCAGAAACACAGATGAGGGAAGCAACAGGGAGTGGGGTGCAGCCGCTCAGTGCCCCTCAGTCACGCTCACAGGAGACAGCCAGCCCTGGGGTTGGCAAAACAAATTCAGACACGACTGGGAGGTGGGGCAGGCATCCTACAGACCCCACTGGGAGCGGAGCAAGGAGCAGCCTCACTCTGGAGTGGCCCTTCTAGACACTGGCTGTCAGGCCTCCCACCCAAGGGAGGTCTGCTCTCCACCCCCATCTGTCTCCTGGGGGCTTCACCATCCACCTTCTCTGCACTGGGGACCCCCACTTAGCAAATGGTTCTTATTTAAAACTACAATTACTTGTGACCTGGATGAGTATCTCAACCACAAAATTATGATTCTGCTTCAGAACATTTTCACTAACAGTTACTCTATCATCCTAGGTAGCTTACAGAGGAGAACTTATTTTCAAATATATATATTATTATCACAATAATTGTATATATTATTAATATAAAGAACTCTTTATAATCTTTACACAAAATTAACTATTTTGTCACACTCCTCAACTAAACATATTGGAGAGGGGGCCACAGTGGGTCAGGGGTAGGTGGCAGCAACCCTTCCAGCGAGTGGGGTCATTCCCCCAAATTCCTCCTTACTCACCCTGGGTACCTCTCATCTCATCTCTCCTCTTCTCCCTCTCTGCCTTTCCTGGGGGTTTGGCTCTCCCAGGACTTGTGCTCAGATGCTGATGATAAACTGATGGTGTCCTCTCTCCTGCTCAGGTTTGGGAAATTGCTCCTGCTCCTCCCATCTTTGAGATTTATCACTTCTGAACGCGTTGAGCTCCTCTTTTTCCGCAAGACCATAGGTAATACTCCAATGGAGAAGCTCCTCTGTGATATGTTCAAAAACTAATGGGGGGGGGAGCCTGGCTGGTGTGGCTCAGTGGTTGAGCATGGACCCATGCACCAAGAGGTTGCCAGTTCAATTCCTATACAGGACACATGCCCAGGTTGTGGACCTGGGGGGCATGCAGGAGGCAGCCAATCGATGTTCTCTCTCATGGGTGTTTCTCTGTCTCTCTCCCTCTTCCTTCCTCTCTCTCTATACTCAATAAAGAAAAAAAAATGTTTAAACTAATTAAGGGGGAAATAAAATGGGTAAAGCCACTTTGGAAAACACACTTCTGAAGGTAAACATTTGCCTGCCCTGTGACTCAGTAACTCCACCTCGAAGAACTGTCCATCAAAATATAAGAATATTCACAGCAGCCCTGGATCAGCAGTTGGGAGTGTTGGCCTGCAGACCAGAGTCGTGGGTTCGATTCTGGTCAAGGGCACGTACCTCAGTTGCGATTCAGTCCCCAGCCCTGGTTGGGATTGTGCAGGAGGTAACTTGTTGATGTTTCTCTTTCTCTCTCCTCTCTCTCCTCTTCCCTCCTTCCCACTCTATCTGAAAATCAATGGGAAAACATCCTTGGGTGAGGATTTACCAAAAAAAAAAAAAAAAAAAAAGAATATTTACAGTAGCTTTATTCATAGTAGGCCAAACTGTATATTAACAGTAAAATGGATTAATACATTGTAGTATGAATAGTAGAAAACAGAAATAAAAAAGTGAACCACCAATACTTGTGACAACATGGGTAAATTTCACAGACGTAAAAGTTGAATAAGGCCAGGCACAAGCTCTGTTACACAAAGTTCCAGAACAGGCCAGACTAAGAGATGGTGATAGAAGTTATAATAGTGGTTCCCTTGGGTGGGAGGTGGGATGATTGGGAAGGGGCCAAGGGAGCCTTCTGTTGTGTTCAAGATGTTCTTTATTTTGATCTGGAGGTGGTTTCACACATTTATTCACTCATAAAAGTTATTTAAGCTGGCACTTAGGATCTATGCACGTTAGACCTCAATAAAAAAGTGAGAACACAAAAACAGAAGCCAAGTGTGCCGGAGCCCTCCCTTCGAAGCCCTGACGTGGAAGGGACACAGGGTCTGGAGAGCCATTTGGTTTCCGCTCCCAGTCAGAGTCCGGTGCTATGACTTCAAGCCCCGTGAAAAACCTCCCACAGGATTCCACAACCCAGCTCCTCTCCAGATGGCATGCCACCATCCCAAGGCTTCTCTTGATCTTTCTCTTCCTTACCCTTCCTCACCCTCTGTAAACAAAGGTGAGCATCAGCCATCTCAACACAAGGCAGGGACAGGCACTTTTGGTGAAGGGGAATCTCCATACTTCTTGATTCCTTACGAAGAGGGAAGCTCAGCGGGACCAAGGCAGCCTGCTTTGTTTACATCTCCTGTGTCCTTTTCCCCATTTCCTTCTCTCCCACTGGCTCTCCCTTTCTCGTTATCTGCTCCACCAGACAGGTGAGGGGGTCCTGTCTAACAGCCCACCTCCCAGCCCCAGTTACCCTGTTGGGAACCTTTGCTAGTGAATCTGTGACAGACATCAGGACTAGTCAGTGACTGGAGCAGATGTGGGAGGACAGACTGTGGAACCCAGCCCACGGGGAGGCGCTGTGCTGCTGTCCTGCTGTCCCGCCAACAGACATAGGAGTTCAGGCTGTCACCAAGCAGGGCTTCACCTGCCAAGTTCCTCCAGCTGCTAACCTCATATCATGGAAAGGGGGTTAAGAAACACAGAAGCAGCAACATCGACAACCTCCCTGGAAACTCGCTTTCCAATGAGCTGCTGCAAACTCCTCCTCCTTTAATTAGCAGGAGGGAGCTGGACAAGTTGTTACAAGTGCAGGGAAAACCATAAAATATGGCTTCATATTATTGTGGCAAATTTTACTGAACCAGGAGAAAGGGTAACTGAAACATGACAGCTATGTGTGCAGTGCCTCCTGAATTTGTAATAACTCAACCTTGCTCTGAATGAGCCCTGCATTGGCAAATGGAATAGAAAGCATTGAACAGATCCAGTACCACAAGAGGTACAACAGAGAACAGCTGAGCGAGGAGGGCCAGCTAGGGGAAGCGGGACTCCAACTCAGGCCTGCGCTCACCTGCTAATGAAACCCAACCGAAAATACAGGGTCTGGATTTTTTTTGAATGCTCAGACACACTTCACATCCTTTCAAAGACAGACCCAGAAGACCTAGAGTGTAATAATAATAAAAAGTTAACATACTCCTGGCCAGTGTGGCTCGGTTGGTTGGGTCTTGTGCTGTGCCCTGAACGATCGCTGCCTGGCTTGATCCCTGCGTAGGGGCCATGCAGGAGGCAGCCCATGATGTTTCTCTCTCTCTCTCTCCCTTCCTCTCTCTCTAAATATCAATAAAAAAAAATTGTTTTTCAAAAAAGTTAACATATTAGGCACTTTATATACCAGGCAGTGAAGCGAACACTATGCACTGTTATTTAATTAACTCTGGGGGAGGGACCAATAATCCCATTAGGGAGGACTTAAACCTTGCTGTGACTCTACTTAGCTCTGCTCAACTCCAGCACCGCCTCTTCCCCATCCCCCTCCACTCCTGGAATCCACTGAACAGTCTGTTGCATTTCTGTCCTCAAAGTGGAAATGCTTGAAGTCAAGAAGGAAAAGGTCATGTGAGAAATCTGTGAAACCCTTGGGGTTCCGCTGCCCTTTAGCCTATGTACGGATTCTCCTACCTGACAGAGACATCCCATCTTGATGGAGGGGAATGGTTCAGAAGACTCTGGAAATGCCAGTAGCTAAGTCAGTGCCCAGAGAGGAAAGAGTATGGCAAATCCTGTCCAGCTTGAGCCCTTCCCAGCTAAGCACCCAAACTACTTGAGACTCTTCATCTTTCAACAGCATCAGACTTACCTCAGTTATTTGGGTCATTTAATGTCTATCCCATACTACTACCCAATTCCCTATCAAAAGTTTTATCCATAAGGTTTAAAGTCTATTCATAGAAGGCCTGAGCAAAGGAACTTTGGCAACAAACATGGTTGAAATATGACCAGATATGCACATTTATCCTACAGCCTCGCTTTTGAGAACATGTGAGACTGTAAAGGCAGCCCGCTGAAGTTCACAAGGGATGTATGTGCATAGCACTTTCACACTGGGGAAGAGATTGCTTGGGATCTCCAGATCTTAAGAGAATTAGGAGAGGTACATAGGCTGGATTGTCTTCTGTCAACCAGGCATCAATACTCACCCTGCTTCTCCAGTCTTGTGTTCATTACAGAGATTCTAAGAACTTCATTTCCCAGGATCCCTTCCCCCATGGGTTGCTGGGGGAAGGAGGCACTTACATGAGACTTGAAAGGTAAGCAGAAGCCATTATTCCTCAGAGGCTGTTGCAGCTGGACGTGTGGAGAAGTAGATTTCACAGGGGTGTTCTTTGGAACTGCAGTGGCTCCCAGGCAAGCTCTTGAGAACTTTGGAACTTTGGGCCGAGATCTGTGTTGGCTTCCTCGGCCTCTGCGAGCTTCTCTGACCTTTGTTTCCCCAGTTCTTCCAATGTTGATGTTGAGCCCCTAATTCCTATATTAAGTCCTCTCGCCTGGAATGTATGAAGTGACTCCTGATTCGCCAGTACAATGCAGCTCTCAGTCAATCCCAGGATTTATTCAACCTTTTGCTGTAAATTGGCTCCAGTGAAATTCAGATGGGCATCCAGGGCCCTTGCTGGGAGAGGGGATACTATGAAAGCTTTTTTTTTTTTGCCCTCAATGCCAGAAATGTTTTTGGTTATGAAGTACACAGAGGTAGTCCCTGTGGGCCTACCTGGGCCTTTCTTTTTAGCTGCAGTGTTCAGATTCATGAGACACTTCTCCTCCACCCTTAAGGGAGTAAAGGTAGAAAGAGCAGAGAAAGACTCAAAGATGCCAAGAAACACCCTTTAAATTAACAAATATAACCTAATACTGGAACCCAGATATTATGGATGACTAGTCTCCATCTGGTGGACATCACTAGTTTTCCCCACTAGAATGCCAACTACGTAGGGATAGGGAGTTTTGCTTTGTTCACCAGTGTATCCCAAGCAGTGAGTGCTCAGTATTTGTTGAAAAAATGGATAAATGGCAACACTAGGCATCTGAGATGCCTACAAGATTAAATAGATATCGCATATATCTTATTTCCAGTATAGGAGAAAGAACTTTTTTTCTAATCCTCACCCTAGGATATTTTTCTATTTATCTTCAGATAGAGTGGGAGGGGGGTAGAGAGGGAGAAACATCAATGTGAGAGGGACACATCAACTGGTTGCCTCCCACATGACCCTGACCAGGGACGAACCCCAACTGAGGTACATGCCCTTGACTAGAATCAAACCCGTGACTCACTGGTCTGTGGGCTGATGCTATAACTGCTAAGCCAAACAGGCCAGGGTGAGAAAGAGTAATTAAAAAAAAATCCAAGTTCTGTTCTCTTTATAAGTTGTATCTCCTTAAATTTTCATGTTCTCATCTTCATAATTGAAAAGGTTTATTGTAAATTCAATAATCACAGGGACAAGTTTTAAAAATGACATTTCTAGGTTTCAATTGGCCAACTAAACAAATTTAAAGACACAAATCACTATATAATTATTTTTATGTAATTTAATGCAAAAGCTGTAAATAAAAATTTTTAAAGAAATGGGAAGGATAATCTTAAGAGTTTAAAAACTGAATATATATGGTGTCAGGGAAAAATTCACAGTAACTTCTTTCCATTTCACCTTAGACTTGGTTTGGCATTGAGAACCCATGATCTCACCCAATGCTCTTACCCAATACCTAAGTGCTGGTGCTTTCTGTTAGGTGCTGGCGATCTGAGTCAGCAAGACAGTGAGTCACATTTCTGCTTTGAAAAGCTAATAGCCAAGCCCCCCCCACCCCTTATTGATTTTACAGAGAGAGGAAGTGAGAGAGAGAGAAACATCGATGAGAGAGATCATCGATTGGTTGCCTCCTGCATGCCCCCCACTGGGGATCAGGCTCACAACCTGGGCATGTGTCCTGATCGGGAATGGAACCAGTGAACTCTTGGTGCATGGGTTGATGCCCAACCACTGAGCCACACCAGCCCAACTCCAAGTTTTTCATGTCACAAATACTGGGAGCTATTGAGAAAACAAGACATCTAATCCAGTTCAAGGGGGAGAAGAAATTCCCAAGTGCTTACACTGAGACCTGAGGAGTTTTCCAGAGAAGTAAACCTGGGGAAGAGAACTCATTTACAAATTAAAAAACTAACATCCAGAAAGGCAAATGACTTCTCCGAAATCATGCAATATAGTGGCAGAACAAAAATAACAAACTAGGCTTGAATTATTGGGCCCTCTATTAGCAGATATTACTACTTCTTCATGGCCTTTGTGGTGAGGATCCTAAATGTAGACTTAACACCTTTCTCCCCAGCTAGCCCTAAACTGAGTAAATGAGGTCTTAACAGCTAGCAGCCAGCATCCATTACAGAAAACTAGCAGTTTGAATCTCACCTTTACTTGAATTCAGTTGAGTTTTAGCTACTACTACTCCTGCACTTTGTCCATTGTGGGCTCAGTCCTTTCCTTAAGGAAAAAAAAAATCAGTTTTAACTAACAAAATCATTGTTGTTCCTTGGGATCAAGTTGGAGTGAGTTGGGGTGGGAGCCAGGATGGTCAAAAAACAAACCACACATATTGCTACTTGTAGAAGCTTATATTCTTTAATGAGCCATTGGAGTGATTTGTTCATTAAGCTGCTTTTGTGTAGCCATACAGTGCATATTTTGAGTGACACAAACTGGACTTTATACAGATGATATTTTGCTCCCCAACAACCCTCCCCCCAAAAAAAGGAAGTTACAAAGTGCCTGTTGATTGCATCAGAAATGTAGTCAGTTCCATGTTTCTTCTAGAATTATTCTGTTTAACAGTAAAATATTATATTTCACAGGATATGTCCTTTTACAATACATAGTCTTTTAAAAATTTACACTTGGCATACTTATAAATTATTTAAATCCATTAAAATAATATAATACTAATCTGTAGTACTCACCTTTTCCCTAGTAAATACAATTACATGGTTCAAAAGGTGCAACTTTTATATGACATAAGGGCTGATAAATAGGTATGAAGTATGGATAGATAGCAAGGTGATAGGTCCCTTGGTGGGGCTTTTTTTAAAAAAACAGTTTCAACCAAGAGACCAACAAAACGTAATAGATTCATGTCCTCACTCATCATTTAGCTGTTACCGTTTAACACCAAATCAAATGTGGGAATGGTTCCAGAGAAAAGTGGTTAAAAGGGGCACAGAAAGACAGAGGACTCCCACAGATACCAAGGAATTTTACCACCAAGGCTAGCATGGGGTTGGGGGACAGTGCTGGGGAGTTGTCACAAAATTATGGGTGACATAACACATTTGTCAACACAGAATGATCCATGCCCCATGTCCAGCTCCACCATCAAGGGAAAAAAAGGAGAGGAGAGAGAATGATGAGGAAAGCTGTTTGGACTGTGTTTCCTTTTAAAATTAAAACTCTTAGCTTTGAACACATCCTGAGAATACTTTCTTCTATCTAGTTCACCAAAGTGCTTGTGAAACATACACATTCATTAGTTATAGTAAAAACAAACACACAAGGCCCACTGGCATTGAAGTGGGCCTGCAGCACCTTACTGCGCCTCCTCATTTCAGCAAGTTTCTGGGATCCTTTGTCCTTGACAGTGAAAACAACTCCCTCAGGATAGAACAGAGACATCTCCACTAACCATCCAGCAGAGGTTACTGGAGAGGTGTAGCTGGTTTCTGAAGAATGAGAAGGCAGGGGCTCTGGTACCCCATTCCCTGACCTCAGGTCCCTCTGCAAGGCTCCTACAGGGAAGGGGCTATTTCCCTTAGTGCCTTCAGAAGCCCAGAGTGGCAAAATAATTGAAATGGCATGAAGTACAAAGTGCATTACAAACTAAGCATGTCACCTTCCTGAACCCTTCAGGTATGTGCTGTTAAAGTCATTTGCTTCACTTTGCGGCACCCAGTGTAATCCAAAATTAGACTTCTCTGCTGCTATCACATTTTTCATGATAAGGGATTTGTTGGTTGTACTGGGGAGAAAGGAAATCAGACTTTGTTTGGGGCTGGGAATGTGTAATAGGAACAGAATGCTCTTCATTTTGGAGTATGGGCTCCAAGTGTGGGACTGCTCCACTGCTGCCATGCAGACATTTCCTTTTGGGGCATTTGAGATCGAAAACAACAAGCAAAGGAGAAGCAATAGGAGATACAGATGTGAAACATGTTAAGGCTAAATATCTTAATCACAAGGGACTGCAATGCATACAGCATTACTCTGTGGTGACATAACTTGAACCAGGGAAAGAACCAGTTAAGATTAAATGGAGGGAGATACAGCCCTTGTTTCTGACAGTTTATAAGAGCCATGGCATCATCTCTTTATCAGGCTAACAATGCCTATTACCCCGAGACAACAGCAGCTTTCCTTCCTTCAAAGGGAGGGCCCCACACTGGCTCTCATCCCTGCAATTGCTTGGAATGCTCCTTCCCACCAACTCCATTCTGGCAGCTTGTTAAATGACTAGAAATCCACAAATCTACCAACTGAAAAACAAATATTTTTTATTTACTTTTATCCAAATTCAGGTTTCAGGTCCCTGAGAAAAATTATGTCTCTTAACATCCACTGCCAAGTTCCTATAAAGTGTCCTATATAAGTAGCTTTTTAATTGCCAAAATCTTATTTTGCAAAAACAACAACAACAACAAAATCCACAAAGATTTAGAAGAACATGTGCCAAGATGTGTTCTCCAGTTTATTCCTCTGGGCCAACGGAAATTATCCAACAAGGGTAATTTCTTTTTTTGTATGGTATTGACAAATGCCTGGCAAGTGGATAGCAGTAGTCATGCCCAGCAGAACACTCCTCTCCCAAGAACACTGAAACAGACTGCAGTCTGGCAGGGGCCCCGGGGCAGCAGCAATCCCACTTTGACATAACCATGCTGAGGGATTAGGTGTTCTCTAGGAGATTGTCTACTCCCCAGGACAGTATGAACAAGGTGGCAGATGTTTGCAGGGCATAAGATGAAACTCTTGCTCACTAACCATCATCATTCTGGAGATTTATAAAGATTACTTTCTCTAGCTCATTTCAGAACCCAAACCAGGGACAAGGAAGACTCCTGCTGCCTTTAGCTGCCACTCAGAATGATGTTCCAAGTCTCACCTCTGGGGCTTGACAACTACTACCTAGGCAATGGCGTGAGGTTCAGTGTTGTGTAACAGGAGAGACTCTGCCTTAACATAAGTCTTAATATTTCCATAACTTCAAATTGAAGAAGCACAAACTGGAAGACTAATCAAAATTCAGGTTACAGATGGTAAAGGCTCTTTTTTTAGAACAGTGCATGTGGTAGTTAGACAAGATGCATTTAGTAACTTTAAAAATAAACATTTTCACATACTTTTCTCAAGAAAGGGTATCATGTTTCATTTTCCATATTATATAAATAGCAAAAACAGATTTCTAATCCCACAGATGCTAAGAAGCTTAAAATGCTATTATAACTCAGGTGTATGAAGACACCTAGTGGTAAAAGATGGTCTGACTTGTGACTTATCCCTCAACCCAGGGATGCGTGGCTCTCACCTCCCGGTCCAATGATCCCTAATCTGTGGGAAGAAATTCCATCTGAGGAGGGAAGCATAACGTTAAAAAGAAATATGCATACTATACACATATATTTACAGTACACTTCAGTAACCAGAATATTAACAAAAGTAGCTTCAAGTAGTCCTTGATTTTTTAAAAAAAATCTATTTAATACTGATGGTCTGAGGAAAGAAGATAAATGTTAGATGGGTCATCTGAAAAACTTTTCTCTGATTTTTTGGCAGTTTTCTTTCACACTTATTAATGCAGTACTGTGTGTGAATGTTTTGAGAGAAATGATTAAATGGTCAATTCATTTGTCTTGAGTTTGAGTTTGAAATCTACAAGCAGAAGAGTATGTTATCTTCAGTTCAATCTATACAAAGAAAAAAGCCTGGATGGATCAGGGTGAAACCCTCATGTGTAGGGATCGCCATATTGTTGGGACATTTAAAAAAATGAGAGGAACCTGATCCTAGGACCAGGAAATATGAGAACAGTATGGCTACTGAAATTTCAGCCCATGCAATATATTTGGCAGGAACCAACTAGGAGTTAAACCAGCACTGATTATATTACATCAAACATCATCAAAAAACAAAACCTGTACTGTCTTCTTCACTGTGTAACCAGAGGTCTGAGACATGCTCTGATGGCTTCATGGAAAAAACTGCTGTTTTACTTCCCCCAGAATATAACATTGTTTTTCAAAAATCTTAAAATAGAGAGCTTAGGTTTTTTTTGTTTATAAATCCCTGGAAAAAAAAGTATATTCTACCCCAGCTCCTAACTATCCCAAAATAAACCTAAAGGCTTTTGCTTTCATAGTTAAGAAAGATTTGTGTTTTCTTCAAATGTCTGAAATCAGTGCGTCCCTCAGGCCCACAATGTGCTCCCCAGTTCCACACCCGCCTCTGGAATGGGAAAAGAAGATAGAAGAGAGGCAACACAAAGACCTCCACAACTGACCCAAAGCCCCATACCCTAGTAGGTGGCTTTGTTCATAAAATCTCTAGTCATACACAGCAGCCAAGGCACAGCTGGCATCATCCCAGGCAGGCTTCAAAGAGGCCTTTCCACTATGGCAGTAGGCCCAGGAATTCAGCACACAAGGTCTTGGTTGTATGCTTGGGCAAGAGACAGGATCTTGAGGTGATGAGAAGAGGCCCCAAAGATGAGATGTGTTTACCACTCTGCAGCCATGAAGGGACACACATCTGCCAGTTCAGACCATAAACTCATTATTTCCAAAGAGAGCTAGCTGTTGGGTAGAGCTGCAGTCTGGGTCCACAGTTTTCCTGCGGCCAGACACCACTGTTCCCTCTGAGGTCTCTTTGGTTTTCTGAGGTGAGTTTTTCACATTCTTTAATTTCTGTTTGCCCTTTTCAGGGTTGAAGGTTCCTCGGCTGATGAACTGAGGCCTGTCTTCCAGGGATTTTGTCTGGCCCAATGGCCCCTCCATTCCTAGGGTCTCACCAGCTGAGGCAGCTCGGTAGAATGGAGATTTGGAATAAATCTGAAATCGTTTTCTGGTCCCATGAGAAAATACAGTGTCAGATGAACATAAAGAAGAGACGGAAGAGTCCACTGAATCCAAAGAGTCGTGCTGCTTTTTTAGCTGCTTCCTCAACTTGCCAGAAGGTTCAGACTTGCCAGCTGCCTTCAGGGAGCTAAGGGCTGAACTTTTCTCTAATGCAGAAAAGAGACCAAAGCTATAAATGCCAGTTCCCTCTAAAGCAAGTTATGTAATGAATAGGTGTCACTATTCACATGAGAAATGAGGTGGCTAGATTTGGAGAGTCTGGGCTGACCTACTTTGTGCACACAGATAACTCATAAAGAGCTCACCATCCATTTCTACATATATCATTTAAGAATCAACTTCAAGGAAGTGTGGAATTTGATTATGCTATTAGGAGAGACCTACAACTGCCACTATCATTTAAAAACTACTCATCCTTAGAAAATGGATCATGGGTAAGACAACACTGTTGTGATTATTGCTTTTCTATGTGGTAAAGTAAAAGTAAGAGAAAATATTAAATTACCAAAAAGCAGCTTTACATTGAAGGTTTCACCTAGTGAACAATTTATATGAAAGCTTCACAAAGATCACTATTTTTCAACTCCTTGGGACTTTGTCACCTTTTCATGTAAGGTCAAGGCATTGTGGAAAGGGACTTTGTCTTAGCTTAGGAATCCTTAATCCTCCTTGGCACTAACGTGTTCATTTACCTGATTTCTCAAAGATGGCACCTTCAGACTCAAAATTTAAGTTTTCTGAGCTATCGGCAGTCCCGATGGAGGCCTCGGACTCAAGGGTTTCATCATCAGAGGCACGGGGTTCCAGTACAAGCATTTCAAATGTTAGCTCCTCCCTGTAAGATATAGTCAAGAAATCCATTACTATTTGATAAGAAGTGGAAGGAAGATGACAGGAGAAAAGACCTCTCATAAAAGTCAGAAACTTCAGTAGCTGTTTCCATTCAGGGTGGCTATAAGGATCTTGTAAGCCATAGTAATGAAGAAGGCTAAAACTGTATGTACTAAAGGACAAAATGACAGCATTGGCTGGGCCAACAACAGGGCCCAAGGTGAGTTAGAGAAGGTTGTTGCAGCTGTAAAATCTTTTGGTAAAATGAACTCTGGGCTAATAATCACATCAGGGTTCTAAACTTACTCTAAAGTCATTCATAATGCCTCAGGAAGGAACTTTCCTTCCTCTGGACCTCCATTTTCCTCATCTATAAAACAAAGATTACACTAGATAACCTCTAAGATTCCTTCTAGCTGTTTAACTATTTTCCATGAAACTTTACTAAATGGCTATAGACTATATTCTCTACCTTGACCACAGACCTCTGGATAAAGTAAAACACTGATTTATCCTTTTTGTCCTTGATGCTTAAGCCATCTCCATTTACCATATTTTCTACTCCCCTTCATCAATCACCCATGTACCTCAGTCATGCCCCTCACTCCCTGAAGTCTTTGGTACTTGGCCTTTAATCTTGCTTTTTTCATTACTGCTTGACACCACCCTAATCTATTTCAATCAATATCTTTGTAGCAGCTCACTTCAATTCCCTAACACCAAAGTTCCTTTATGTCTGCAACTTCTAACAACCTTTCCTCCACTTTATATAGGTACCTTTCTCCAATGGGCAGATCCTAGGGTTCATCATTACCTGGAATTATACCAGCTCTGAATTCAATACTCTTCTTGCCCACAACCTCCTTGTCCTTCCAATTCTTACTCCCCATTTAGTCTCTTCTCTTTCAAAGCCCTTTAAGCTTCATTTCCACTACCCAATTTAGACAATCAAAGATAATCTCACAAGAAGCTCATTGCTGCAATTACCAGTCATAAGCCACATGCATTCACACTTCTGAGGCTGTGCTCATATTTGTTCCTTTCTCTAGAAAGATTTTCCCCTTCCTACAAATTCCTATTCATTTTTCATCAGTGCTGACTTAGGTCCTCTTTTTAGATTATTCTTGTATCAACTAGCTTAGGGTAAATGTACCCCACTTTTGCCTTAGCATATTCTGCACAGTTGAGCTCCAGCTGCTTTTTTAGCTTGCCTAAATTCTAGAATCAATCCTGACAAGCAAGAAGTACTTTAACAGACTCATATCCCCACATGAATCAAGTTCTCAGACCTGGGATTCTGGAACTCAGGGACAAAAATCCCTTAAAATTTAAGAGTCAACATCATCAGTCGGAATCAGTACATGGTACTTTAAGGAAGAACCATGGGATGTTCATATTATCCCCAAGATGTATTGCTACCCACTTTGTTCCAGTGATGATAAAGTTACAAAGCTGCTTATCTGTCCCTCCCCTAAATTACAACCAATTTCCCTACCCAGTATCCCAGCACCCATTAGAGTTGCTGCCCTTCTCTGACCCAATCTAATTGCTGGCCCCAAGGCTATATTGATCTTCAGATAATATCTTTGCTTCATGGAGTTCTTAAAAATGCCCATTCTTGGAAGGGACTTTGGCTTAGCCTGGGAATCCTTATTCCTCCTTTTTAAAACAAATCTGTTCACCATAGCTGGTCTCTGACCTGTTAGAATCTTGGCTAAGATTCCTTGACACACTCTGTCCCAGCCAGCCTGTTTAGAATTATTGCAGAAGTTTCAGATATATGTCTTCATCATCTCACATCCCCTGTGTCACCTGACACAGTGTTTGACCCACAGGAGATATTTAATAAAAAAGGAAAAATAAAGGACAGTAGGGAAAAAATGACAACAGATAATAATTGGTCATTCCCTTTCCTCCTGGAAACTCACTTCTCCTTCTGCAGGTTCTCAATCTGTTCAGTCAGCACTCTCTCCTCCTGCTGCATAGCTGCTTGATGCTGTTCTGTGATGTCCGTCTCCATGGCTGCCTCACTAGTCAAGGTCTCTTCTGGGACATCAGACATGGAGGGCAACCGAACTACAATAGGAGAGGATGGACTTGGATAGTTTCCTCGACGAAGATGGCCCTTTCCCTGCAAAGAAAAATACATATTATAAAGTAAACTAAGCAACTACAAAAGTTTTACGTGGCCCATTAAGATAACAAGTGTACTTCTGTCATACCAGGTAACTGGTAGAAATAAACAAAAACATCGGTAAGTCCTAAACTATTTAGTGAGATACCATCCATCAAATACGTTTAGGTTAAATACTGCTTGAAAGAGCATTGGGAAATGGATACTTCAGTGGGTAGGAGTACAAGGACACACGGTGTACTGGGGTGTTTCTTCTTTTAATCTAAACTGCATCTACTCCAAACTAAATATCCACACATGGCTATTTAATTTAAATCAATTAAAATTACGTAAGTAAAAATTTAGTTCTGCATTCAGACTAGCGACATTTATGGTTCTCAGTAGTCACAGGTGGCTAGTAGCTACCATACTGAATAGAGCAGATATAGAACATTTCCTTCACCACACAAGTTCTAATGGTCAAAACTGCTATTCACCTTTAACTGTGGAATGTACAATCTCTCTAAGAAGACTATAGAAACACGTCCTGAAACTCAGTTTCATTAAAAAAAAAGAGTCATTTATATATCACAGGATGCTAGTGAGAGATATTCTCTGAGAAAAAGTTAAAAAAACCTTTTTTTTTTTTTATTCTCACCCGAAGACACTTTTTTTTTGTTGTTGTTCAGATAGAGTGGGAGGGAGGGAGAGGAAGAGAGAGAGAGAGAGAGAGAGAGAGAAACATTGATGTGAAAGGGACACATCAAGTAGTTGCCACGCGCATGACCCAACCAGAGCCGGGGACAAACTGCAACCGAGGTACATGCCCTTAGTGGGAACTGAACCGGGTCTCTCTGGACCGCAGGCCGTCGCGCCAACTGCTGGGCCAAACCAGCCAGGGAAATAACTTCCTTCTTGAGATCGGGGGGTGGGGAGGAATTTTATTGCTTTGAAATTGGTTATTTTCTATATAACTTTAGCCTCTGACATTGGCAGACTAGGCATTTCAGATTAAATCTCCTGCTGAGAACAAGTGGACCAAACACAAAAAATCCAACATATTATTAGAGGCACTAGAGAGCTAACAAGGTAGGCCACAGGGAGGCTAGCCCAGCATTTAGGGCTAATCTAAATTTAAGAAGAGGTGGCTGAAAATCTGAGAAGAGCTTCTGACAGACTACATAAGAGGTCAGCAAACTATGGCTCATGGGCCAAACCGGGCCTTGTGCCTGATTTTGTAAATAAAGTTTTATTGGAATACATTCATGCATTATCTATGGCTCTTCTGCAGAACAAGGGCAGCATTAATTGTTGTAACCAAAACATTTACTATCTTCTCCTTTCCAAAAACAGTCTGCCAACCCCTGGGGTAAAGAATAAAAGTGGAAGTCCAGACACACACTAGGGTGTGGGCTGCTGCCTGGTAAAACATCCATGTCTGATGCTAAGATCACCAATGTTTGTTTCCTAGACCTAAGGGTAAACTAAAATTATAACAGTCCTTGCAGACACTACAGCCTAGCTTCATGTCATCTAAATGGTCCACACAACTGTAATCCCTAAAACTGGATTAAAATAATCCAGATGTTTAGTGGCCTAGCACCTGGCAGAAAAAAATGAAAATACTCTTTGGAGAAAAGAAACATTATCTCAGGCCTCAAAATCTTTTTACAAATAATATTTCAAATACTGCATCTGACACACAACCAAAGGTAACCAAGAACAAAAGGAGATAAGACAATGTAAATGAAAACCAGTAAAAAAACAAACAAGCAAACCAGAAAACAGAAACCCTAAATGATTCTAGACATTGTGGCTATGAGATAGACTTAAAATAACCATGTTGAAGAAGATAGAAAGACAATGTTGAACTATTGGGCCAGAATATCAATCAGGGAAAACAAAATAGAACAAAAAATTTTCTAGAAAAATTCAGAAAAAAAGTAAAAGATATATATAATCTATCATCTATCTACCTACCTACCTACCTACCTACCTACCTACCTACCTACCTATCTTTGCTCTCTCTATATATATAAATAAACCAGGAGAGGAGAGTGATCCTGTAGAAGAAATATTAAAGAGCTAACGGCAGAGCATTTTTCAAAACCAATGAAAGACATTAACCTACTGACTAAAGAAAGCCTTCAACCTATAAGAAAAATAAATTTGACAAAAGTTCATACCTAGACACAACTGCTAAAAATCAAAAGCAAGAGAAAACCTTAAAAGCAGTAAGAAAAAAAATGTACCCACAACAAAGAAGCAACTTTGCAATAGAAACAATAAAAGGCAGAGAACAGTAGATGGTATTTCCAAAGCGATGCAAGAAAAAAGTAACTGTCAACCTATAATTCTATACATAGCAAAACAACTTTCAAGAATGAAGTTGCACTAAAGACATGTTCAGATAGTCTAGAAGAATGGGTCACCAGTAGACCTGCACTAAAGAAAATACTTAAGGGCAGATAAAAATGACCCAAGAAGAAAAGTTACTGAGGGCAAAATGAAAACAGTAAATATGTGACTAAATCTAAGTAAATAGTGACTGCATAAAATATAAGAATAATATGTTGGATTAAAAATATACAGATAAGAGGAGATCCAAAATGGTGTAGGAGTGAACAGAAGCTACACAGACCGTCTCTCAGAACCAAACTGGAATTACAACTATAACACAGACAAATCGACGGGAAAAAGCAACAGAAAAGCAGCTTGCAAGGACCATATAACCAGGGACACTGACTTGATCCTGGTAGGATTACAAAGGCGTGAGACAGGGGCTGGGAGCCCATGGTCAACAGCTCAGCAGCGGCCTTAGCTGGGAGCGGCGCCCTTGGGTTAAACTCCCAAGCGGCTGCACAGTGCAGAGCCGGGACAAAGGCTAAAAAAGCCACAGCCACTAACCTTGGGCTCCGGCAGAGGGAGGGGATACTGGACAGGAACTATGTAGGGACACTCGGGATTTGGAGGGCGCTCAGAGCTTTTGCTGAGTTGCTGCCACGCAGGATGGTGGCCATATTGCTCCTTCCCAGGGCTCTGAGGAGAGGCAGCAGCCCCTCCCTCGGAGATCCAACCCCACCCTGTGGGTCACTGAAATGCTAATTGAGGCTCATTAACAACCAGCATCTGCCCCACCCTCAAGAAATCCCCTTATGCTGAGCAACTGAGGGAGTTTATCAATCAACTGACAACCCAAAACTCATCAAGTAACCTGGACTGCTAGCCTCCAGGCAAAAAGCTAGAGGATAACAGTACCTTTCCTGGGATAGCAACTTTAACCAGGAAAGTAAGACTTGACAGTGGTGTTTAACGAGGGTCCTCCCTCGCTCATCTAAACCCAGGAGAGGGAGCCACAAACAGCAGAACACCAACACCCACAGGGAAAACTTGACAGGCTCCAAAGCCCACTGTTATAGCCAAAATGGTGAAACACAGAAACAGAAGCCAAATGAAAGAACAAGAGACCACCACCAAAGATGACATCAATGTGGAGTAGTTGGGCAAGTTAACAGAGCTAGAATTCAGAGCCATGATCTTGAAGAAGCTCAACAGCATGAGTAAGGACATAGAGATGCTGAAAATAAACCAATTGGAAATTAAAAACCACCAGGAAGAGATGAAAAATGACGTATCAGAAATGAAAACCATATTGGAAGGTCTAAAAAGCAGAGTAGAGGAAGCTGAGGACCGGATCAGTGAATTAGAAGACAGGATAGAAAAAATCAACCAATCAGTAAACCAAAAGGAAAAAACTATTAAAAAACAGAAAGACAGCCCTGGCCTGTTTGGCTCAGCGGTTACAGTATCGGCCTGCGGTCCTAAGAGACCCGGGTTTGGTTCCCGCTAAGGGCGCATACCTCGGTTGCAATTTGTCCCCAGAAAGACAGCCCTGGCCTGTTTGGCTCAGCGGTTAGAGCGTCGGTCTGCGGTCCTGAGAGACCCGGGTTTGGTTCTCGCTAAGGGCGCATACCTCGGTTGCAATTTGTCCCCGGCCCTGGTTGGTTGTGCGGGTGGCAGCCACTCGATGTGTTCCTTTCACGTCGCTGTTTCTCTCTCTCTCTCTCTGTTCCTCTCTCTCCCTCCCACTCTACCTGAACAAAAAATGGAAAAATGTCCTCGGGTGAGGATAAAAAAAACAAAACAAACAAACAAACAAAAAACAGAAAGACAGCTTAAGAGAACTGTGGGACAACTGGAAACGTAATAACATTCGCATCATAAGAGTACCCGAAGAAAAAGAAAATGAGCAAGGGTTAGAGAATATATTCAAAGAAATAGTGACAGAAAACTTCCCTAATTTGGTGAAGGAAGAAAACATTCAACTTCAAGAAGCACAGAGTAAGAAGAACCCAAGTATGAAGAACCCAAACAGGCATACACCAAGACACAGAGAAATTAAAATGCCAAAAATTAAAGACAACGAGAGAATCCTAAAAGCAGCAAAAGATAAGCAACAGGTTACCTACAAAGGAAACCCCATAAGGCTTTCAGCTGACTTCTCACAAAAAACACGACAGGCCAGAAGGGAATGGCATGAAGTAATCAAGGTCATGAAAAACAACGATCTGGATCCAAGACTACTCTACCCAGCAAGCCTATCATTCAAAATAGAAGGTCAAATAATGAGCTTCCCAGGCAAAAAAAGGCTAAGGGAATACATTAGCACCAAACCAGCATTGCAAGAAATGTTAAAAGGACTGCAGTAATTAGTAGAAAAAACAGAAAGAAAAATATAACCACACTAAACAAAAATGGCAGTAAATAAGTATATATCAATAATCACCTTAAATGTAAATGGACTGAATGCTCTGATAAAAAGACACAGAGTAGCTGACTGCATAAGAAAGCATGCCTCATCTATATGTTGTTTACAAGAGACCCACCGCACAACAAAAGACTCACATAGGTTGAAAGTGAAGGGATGGAGAAAAATGTTCCAAGTAAATGGAAAGCAAAAAAAAACAAACAAACCTGGGGTAGCAATATTCATATCTAATGAAATAGATTTCAAAATG